GGTTTGATAAAAGTCTTTCTTGCCTTACTCTGAAATTATTTTAACAATAGTGGTTTCTCTCAGTTTCCTAGCCAAAGAATGGTTCTAATATTCCTCCTTTTTTTCTGATTTTCTAAATACACATGACTCTTGGTTGAACTCAAGTTACTCTTATTACTTCCTATATGCTAGGTTCCAGAGTTCATATTCAGTCATCTACCTTTAAAACCATGTCCTTTTCATTCCATTTTTAATCCCATAATTTGTAGACACTAAAGATATTTTGCACGTATCCTTCAGAGTTTACTCCTCTCTCTCTTTTTTTCTTGTGCCCCGATTTCTTTCTCATTTATTCTTAGATGCACAGAATTGCAGTCAGGACCCAGGTCTTTGTAGTTGTCCGGTTGGTTGCTGCTAAGAACGAGAGAGAGAGAGAGAGAGAGAGAGAGAGAGAGAGAGAGAGAGAGTCACATTGCTAATGGTCTTTAAAATTCTCATAAAAAAGCCGTAACCAACTCGCCAAGATGCCATAATCAATTGGCCAAGATATCAATACTGTTTTGCCCTTGTCTTCAATTCTAAGATCCTTCCTCTCCTTTAAATAAAACTTTTGATTTTAACATAACCTCAGCCTAGCCTTTTCAGTTTCTTTGTTACCTAAAATCGCTTATTCTAATTCCTGGTGTCATAATACTAAGATCTAAATCTTGTTCTGATTTCCTTTACTTATATCCTAACAGAAGCTTTAAAATATAAGGACAGTCTTCATGCCTGATCCCTGCAGGTGTGCCCTGCCCTGTTTCTAACATACTCTCAATGTTTCAGAAATACCAAGTTACTGTTGTTCTTCAAATGTGCCTTGTGTTTCAGCCCCCGTACTTTTCTATTCTGTCTACAATCTCTTCCCTGTTTTCTTCACCTAGACACATGCTTTTCAAGCTTTAGGTGTTATCTCAGACATTAGTCCTGTTGGAAGCCTTTTCTGTTTCTTCACAAGGTGAGTTAGGGTCCTAGTTAGGGCCCATGCTACCCTGGGCACCACTGTCATCAGCATATACTATGTTATATCAAAACCAACTGTTTATATGATTGTGATGTCCTTGGGGGCAGGGATGTATCTTATTATTTGCTGCAAATTATATAATATTGGGCATATGGCATTTTTTTGGCCTAAATTCAAATGAACTGGATTAGATGTACTTTAGTCTAATATGTGATATTCTTCCAGACATTATTTATGTGGTCCTAACCCAGAGAATACCAATATATGTATATAAATTATATACAGCAGCATTATTCTCCTAGGATTTTTGAAGTCATAGGATCTTAGAATTGGAAAGAACCCAGAATATTTCACTACAATTCAATGCAGGACTCCTTTTTTCGAAGTTTTGGCTACTAGTTATCCATTTTTTAAAATAATTTAATTTTATTTTATTCTTTTAATTAGGGAAGGGGATGATTGAAGAGGAAATAGTTCCACACATTTCCTTTCTACCCAAAGACAATCACTAGTTTAAATTATCTTTTCCAGAAGCCTATCGAAATCAGGGGTAAGCTACTCAAATCAGAGTAGGACAAGGGTCATCAGACACTTTTGTTATGCCTAGATTGGACAAATCCTTTTCCAAGAACATCTCAAAAAGACTCCACAAAATTTCCAGGTATTCAAGAGTTCTGTTTTTAGGTCAGCTTAAGATAAGCCTTTTTGAGAGCAGTTTTTGGTCCACTTCATGAGATTTAACTAGAATTTTAATTTCTTGGTACTCTTTCAATTTTCCTTCTTGGGTAAGTTAATTGCGTGAGTTATTATTTTTATTAATGTCTTGCGTCAATTATATGATTGACGTTTGTTCTTTTTAGAGTAGAACAAGTACACTGGATTCCAAGAAACTACTTCCAGGTTTTTCAAGTTTTCCGGTATCAGTATCTCCATGTATATCTGTCACATCTACCTTCATATACACATAGAGCCATACGTAGGACTTCAGCCTTCTGGTGGTCATGAAAGCCACCTTCCATGGTCAGTTAGGACATTGGTCGTGTGTCCATATGTCTAGGGGACCTGATCTGATAAACAGGACTGGGCAGGAACCAGACAATGAGGTTTCCTTCATGGGCTGCTATTAGCTTTTTATGAGGTTCAAGAGTCTCTAACCTTGTTCTGTCCTCTCTCTACTGATCCCCTGTACTGCTGAAATAGACAATCCCTGCCTTACTTTGTCAGATTATTTTCAGAGTCAGAAGAAAAAAAATATATGAAGAGTTAAAAATGTCATGAAAGTAAAAAAAGTATTGTGTTCATTCTTCTTACCTCACTGACAGTCAGTTAAGTCCCTTTGCATTATAAGCTGATTAGCAAGTGATAGATGGGAGGAGGTATCTTGAAAGAAGACAGGATGGACTAAACAGTGTGGAGTTGTTTCTCCATGTACTGATTTAGACCTCTCTTAGTCAGAGAGACCCTTTATTGGGTCCGGAATGTTTTTGAGAAGATGGATTGCTAAATTATAAAACTAGAACAATGGAATAAAGAGACTTTTCACTTATGATTTGACACTGGATTACTTCCTCCCCGTTTTGTCCTTTAAGAGTCAGAATTACCCCACAGTGGATAATTGCTTCTGGGTAAGTTCTATTAGGCCTGCAGCACTCAGACCTATATTTAAGTACCACCATTTGTGGCCGTGGCTCTGTGCCCACTGTGATAGCTAAAGCAACAAATACTTCCCGCTCCTGAAGTCACCAAGCATGCACATGCTGCCCAAGGGTCATCAGGGCTGCTCTGTGTTCCTCCGCTAACATAGCAAGTGCTACATCAGTGAGCCAGGATGGCGAAGGCTTTGATTGTTTTTTATTTTTAATGTTCCTTCTAGGCTCCAGACTCACTGGAGTCATCCTGACACAAAATGCTTTGCCCAGCACAATGGGATGCCCTTTACCTAGTACAAGAGTGAGTCTCACAAAGGTGCTGCCTTCCCCCCAAAACAAACAACGGAAATGCATCAGGAGAGCCCAACTGCAGACAGAATGCACATCTTGAAGCAGAAGCCACTACGGGATTCCTCAGATGAAAGCCGATTTCAATGAACATTGTGTTTCAAAGCCTGCTTCCTCTTGCTCTGTAAGAGCTGCAGAACGAACATCCCACTTGCGTCTGCTGACACAAAGAATGCTGCGGCGGGGAGATCTTATCAAGCCTTCCTGTGCCACAGTAACAGAGCTCCGGTTGTGTCTTGTAAGAATTGCTCATTGTTTCACGGGGACGACTGGCTCCTTTGGGTGGGATCTGATGGCATCTCATGGCGTGGAGGTAGGTGGTGCTGGGAGGTCAGCCAACCATGTGACCCAGCTTGCTGGCTTCAGGGAAGTCAGAGGAGCAAACTTCACCCAGGTCTGTTGAAGAACTAAACATTTCAAATTAAACTATTAAAAGACACATGTGCTGTTTACTAACTAGTATCTTCAACTGCACAAGTTAGGAACAAAAATTAGAAGAGATAATCAGGGTTTCTCTGTTGGTATAAGCTGTTTCTTCTCTTTTAATCAATTCACTCAATTTTTTATGATAAAATTAAAAAGAATAAAGGAGAAATTTATTGATTTAAAACCATCTCTGGAGAATTTAGAAGCTAATAAAGAAAACTTTAGCTTGGTGGTGCTCAGTGGTTGAGGTTTGACCCAGGAACTAAGAGGTCACTGGTTTGATTCCTGGTCAGGGCATATGCCCAGGTTGCAAGCTCAATCCCCAGTAGGGGGCATGCAGGAGCTAGCCAATCGATGCTTCTCTCTCACCATGTTTTTACCTCTCTATTCTCACTAACTACCTCTATCTGAAATCAATAAAAACATTTTATAAAAAAGAAAACTGTAGCATTTATGACATAAATCTGAAAAATATGTATTTGTTTTATGAGTATGAACTTCAGGTTTAAAATAATCACATTTATATTTAAGGGTGAAAGGTAACAATATTGGATTAATTAAAATTGGCCAATTCTAAATAATGCATCATTTGCTTAGAAAGTTCATGGCTTCTCAGTTTTGGCCTCTTATAAAAGTAAAATGAATGGTTACCTGATCATCTATATGGAGAGTAGATTTGGATTTTCTTCCCTTTCCTCTTCTTTCTAAAGGCTTGCTGCAGTAATTGGTACATATGAGAAATATGTAACAGTCAGTAAGATATGCCCAGCAAAAAAAAGGGACCATGAGTTCCCTAAAAGGACAATTCCCTTCTATATCTCCATGTAGTACTTTCTGAAATGCCCTCTGCCCTAAATGTACCCATATGCCGTTATTTCAACAACAACAACAACAACAAAAACCCCAAGAATTCTCCTATTGCTCAATACAGGTTTTGAGGATGAAGATATTACCAAAATACCATCCCTCTTATTAACATATTTATTATTGAAATGATCAAATGTTGTAATTAGTTATGTATAAATTTGATTTCTCTCAGTGAACTGCGAGCATCTTGAGGAAAGAAGCTTAATCATATTGATTTCCTGTCTCCATTGCCAAGCTCAATGTCTTATACATATTAGTGTTTACAAAATATTTATTGGATGGATGGATGCATGCATGCATGCATGCATGGATGGACAGATGGGTGGTAGATAATTGGCTGATTATGCTGCAGTACCCACAATTAAAAATGGACATTTGATTGTGGTTGTCTACATGGTTCTTGCCATGACCAGACCTGTTAACCTTCGAGGCCTGTATTATCCCACTCTTAAATACATGGAATCAAGAGAGTTTTTTAAATCACATTGTCCAACTCCTTTCATTTACAATTGAGGAAATGAGATTCAGAGAGAGAATCCGATTTATCCATAGTCCCCAGTTAAGTAAGTGCCAGATCTGGGTTAAAATCCATTTCTCTTGCTTTTCAGTCAGATGCCCACTACATTAGGTTGTTTTCCATGACTCATATTTAGAGGCTTACAGGGACCCTGTGGAGCAATCGGTCACTCCTGACTTATCTGAACAAAGAGAGAGAAAACTAGGCTAGAGTAAAATTAGGGGAAAGGAGCCGCGCTGGGGCTGCTGAATTCCTATGTGGATGGTGCTGAAGAAAGGTAAGAATAAGAATGACTCATCTTTATTTAGGCTGATGTCATTCCATGTTTCTCTGAGAATATGCCATATTCAAAATTCAGTGGGTAGTGTCCTATTCTCTCCCTAGTCTCCTAGGCTATCAGTGGTTCTGCTTCTCTGACTGATGCTCAGTCACACTGCATCTTCTAAATGCTTGTGATTGACTTCTACTTAAAATGCTGTTCATTAAGAATTTAACCTTTTAGTTTAAACTATTTTAGAATAAACATATAACAACACAGATGAGTCTCAAAATAATTATGCTGAGCGAAATAAGCCAGGCATAAAAAGAGCACATACTGCATGATTCCGTTTATACAAAACTCTAGAAAATGCGAACTATTTTAGGGTGAGTAAGAAAAAACACATCATTGGGTGCCTTGGAGGTGGAAAGGAGAGGCAGGGGGAGGGGGTTAGAAAGAGAAAGTAGTAAACTTTTGAGGATGATGAATATCTTCACTCTTTTGAATATAGTGATAGTTTCATGGGTGTATGCATGTCAAAGCTTATCAAAGTAAGTATGTGCAGTTTACTGCATGTCAATTACACATCAATAACACTGAGGGTTGTTTGTTTTTTTTTTTTAAGGAATTTAACCTTTTAAAATTCAACCAAAATACTGCATTAGTCAGGGTTCAATGACAGAAGCACGAACACTACAATGTCTATATCTATATGTCATATAGTTATAGGAATTTGACCTTATATAAATGTGATGTATGGTTAGGTCATGTCTGTAAAGTTGTCCCCACGTCTGATGCTGGAGCTTGAAGTCCAAGGACAGGCTGTCAGGAACAGAAGATGGATATAAAATGGGGAAGAGCCAGAACAAGCTGGAACCCACAAGCACAAGCACAAGGACAGCCTGAAACTTGTCATAGTTCTTAATGCGTCTGACTTCGGTTGCATGGCTGCCCTGAAGAAGCAGAGCCCGTCATCAGAGAGCTAAACACACACACCTGGCCATGGAGTTGGAGGAGCTGGAGGAGGGGTTGGGGGAGGTGGAGTCCTTACAGACCCAGCTGCTGCCCCAGGCAGGAGGTGAGACAGCAGAGAAGAGGCAACAGTATGAGCTATAAAATTGCTGCTGCTTCACTCCCCCTCCAAATGCTGCACAAGAGTGTCTTCTCTGGCCCGCTCTAACCAGAAATTCCTGTCACTGACATTTCAGGTACCATTGGACCTTCTGGATTATATGGTGGCAGAGCTGCTGTCACAGCAGCCTGGACTTCTTAAAGAGCTTCCTCTCATTCGGGGCCCTCCCTACTCAGAATTGCTAGGTTTTTGGGTCATTCAGTAAATGGGTCAGAAAGAGTACTCAACATGCCTTAGACTGGACCCCTAGACATTTTGCTGAGGTTTGAGGTCCCTGATTTTTTGTGATTTGTTTCCCACCCTCTGGCATGCAAACATCTGATCGGTAAGTCGCTACTTTCTGCTCATCAGGTGCAGGAATCAGAGAAACTAGAGTAGAACCCAGAGGAAGATGAAGCACTTGCAAGCCAGCCACTGCCTCACACATGTCAGGACAGCCAGCAGAGAAGTAGCAGTGTGAGTGAGCTCAAATACAGCTGCTGCTTCGCTTCTATCCTCCACATTTCCTACAAGCATCTTTCTTATCACCCACCTTAACCAGAAGTATACAGGAACAGGAATTCTGGGAAATGGAGCTCATCCTAGCCAAGCCAACACATCACAAAACTACCATAAATATAATTTATAGATTATTATAGGGTAGAGAATTCAATCTTTTTTAAAAAAAGGTAGTAGATGCCTATCCTGGCATGATCTTCTTTCCTGAAGAAACTATCTGACAAAATGATGTCTCTCACCTAGAAGGCCTTGAGTCCATAGAATATATGTGTGTTCTGGCCCTGGGGAGATTATAAAGAGAGCTAATTCTAGAATTATGTATTATTTTTTAAAATAAATAACTGCTTAACAGTGTGGAAATGTTTTCACAGTTTGAGTCTATTTATCAATTGCTTTTTCCAGAAAGACTGAAATTCATTTAGGTTTGAGTTTTCTTTCTGTTGTTTTTTTTTTTTAATGCTTAGCCTTCAAAGAATTAGAATTTGCTTTTAAGGTAAAGAGTGTGCTGCAGTGCGACATGCTCTTGCATTGTGATGAAAAGACAGCCTCAGAATTTGCTCTCTGGGGAGCTGGCGTGCTGCTCGTCCTGCTGCTGCTGAGGGAAGGGGCATTGTGGTGGCAGAATTGGCTGTCCCAGAAGAAGAAAGCATCCCAATCTGTGGAGCTGCTCCATTGCAGGCAGCCCTCTTTTCTCGTGTTTCTGAAGTCTATCTTCTAAGAGAGAGCTGACATCCACTTCCGCTTTTATCACCTGAGTCTCTGCGTTTCTCTTAGGAAATGGCGAGAATGGAGTGTGTATGTGCTGAGCGAATGCCAGGAGGATAAGCTTTGCAATGATTGAAAGGACAACATTCACAACAGAGAGCAGCTAAAGGAAGAGAAAGAGCAAATGAGACCAAGGGGAAAGTGGTTTTCAGATGGGCCCTTCCTTATCACAAACCAATTCATGACTTCCTGATGAAGACATTTGTCCACCCAAAAGTGCCGGTGCTTCTAGAAATTCCCATCACGGGATAAAACTGTCAGCACCTGCCTCAGACACAGGAGTCGGGAAAGACCACCAGCGGGAAAGAGACTGACATGCACAGCGTGACCATTTTAGTGACAAAATGTGTTCTCTTAGTTAATTTGTTGAATGGAAGATTACAAAAAAGATATATGGTGTCTTTAACATAGTATTGGCTGAATATTCATTTAACAAAAATAATTGGATGATTGACTAAGAAGAGTCACATTTGCTCTTTTACAGGCATTTGGCAAACATTTGGTCTTATCCCAAAAGCATTTTGATTCCTCCCCGCCCCCCGACCCCCATCACCACCATTTTGGTCCTTGATGCTTTAAAATCTCAAGTAAAGTTGGTCCTTAGCATGAGAGTGTGTTAGGATCACAATGGACAGAGACCCTGAACAAAGGAACAAAGAAGGGAGGAACACAGAACAGCAAGCGGGGGGAGGGGAATCATGGAAAATTTCCACCCATGGGTAGATACACCCTCATGCAAACAAAACTTCTGAGCTAATGCTTTATTTTATAAAAATGTGATAAAACACTTGATAAGCCCTGAGAGGACAAGCAATAGTTTTGTTCTGTGTGTTTTTTTTAATCCACCAAAATCCACATGCAGAACTGTTGAAGGGAAAAACGTTTGGTCATATCTGTTTCCAAATGCTATTTCCTTTCCGGAGCCTCAGAAGGGTGAGTGGCTGTCAAAAGTGAGAGGCTGTGTGTCAGCAGCTCTGATCCCGCGTCTGCCCTGTTCTGACCAGGTCCTCTGCCACCGCTAACTGGCCAGCTCTGGCAGGAGGCTGTCGGCTGGGTTTTGCAGGCACATTTCTCTGGCCGTTGCTGTTCTCCAGCTCTGCCGTTTGCTCTGCATCGCTCAGGAGAAGTCAGAGCGAGGCAGAGGCAAGCCCCTGGTGAGCTTTTCTCCTTCATCTCCAGTGGTCTGTACTGGGAGCCAAATGACCAAGGTCCCCTGAGAACGCTGCCCTTGTTCTTCCCTCAATACGTCTTTGAACAACTTTGTAAAAAAAAAAAAAGTCTGCATATTTTTATGATCATACTAAAATAAAATTGCTTCAATTCTGTTGCTAATACTAAGCACTTGAATATGTCAAATATGATCTTAAAAATCTGGCTATTGGATAAGCTTTTCCCTAAAAATGATGTAACTCTTCTCTTCCATTTTCTTTGGTACGTATTTGACTTTCGACTGCCAGGCCCAAGAACAGATGCTGTTTATTTGTGGCCCTGTGTGATATGTGACTCTGGTGCTTTACAGCTTTCACAGAGATTTCACACACAGTAATCTCAATGGGCCCTCAGATAGTCCTGTGAGGTGGGTAGAGTTGATGGTATTTCTACTACCATTTCTCATAGGAGAAAAGGAGAATAAATAAGTTATGTCACATAGCCAAGGTCACGCTGCACTTCAGGGATGGAACTAGATTACAACAGAGTCATCTATCTAGAGGGTTTTTTTTAAAATATATATTTTATTGACTTCAGAGAGGGAGAGAGAGAGAGAGAGAGAGAGAGAGAGAGAGAGATGCATCAATGAGAGAGAAACAGAGAATCACTGATCAGCTGCCTCCTGCACACCGCCTATTGGGGATCGAGCCCATAACCCAGGCATGTGCCCTCGATCAGAATCCAACCCAGGACCTTTCAGTCCTCAGGCCGACGCTCTATCCACTGAGCCAAAGCAGCTAGGGCTAGAGGTTTTTGTTTTTTAATCTATTTCATCACACCAAGCCATCTTTATGAAGGAAAGATGCATACATCTTTATAATTCAACATTCTGGTTAAATATTTGCAAAATTAGAGCCACAATTATAGCCATGGTTTGCTGGTCTCAGTAGGCATCAACTTTTTTTATAGTTCCATATTCTCTTTTCTACCACTATTATCATTTTCTTCCCTATCCATCATCCCCTATTTAACATTCATAAAAGTAATAACATTCTCTTCTATCTTTTCTCTCTTCTTTCCACCCCTTTCTCCTTTTTCTCTCCCTATTTATCCTTCTCTCTGTCCCAATCTCTCTCTCTCTCTCTCTCTCTCTCTCTCTCTCTCTCTCTCTCCATCTCCTCAGTGAGGATTATAAAAAAGAAATTGTTATTACAATTTTAAGCTTAGTTCTCACATATTCCAGTCATGTGTTACTTTCAGTACCCAAAGAGCAAGAGAGATAGAGAGATAGAGATAGAGATAGAGATAGAGATAGAGATAGAGATAGAAATAGAGATCATTGATCAGTTGAAGCCAAAACTCAGGTATGTGCCCTCACTGGCAACTTTTTCTGTACACACCAGGAAGCTCAACCAATTGAGCCACTCCAGACGGGCATAACAATAGCTTATAATTTCTATGGATCTCTGTTTTTATATTTGCAATTTTTTTGCTAGAATAATGATTTTCCTGCAGGAATGAAGAATAGAAAATGGCAAATGTAATCTTTGTGCTAATTTAAAAAAAATGTATATGGTTAAATAGTTGAAAGCTACTTAATTTATAAGTTTTCTTATTTTAAGTTACAGATGCAGTGATCAAACACAGATCTTTTTTCTGTCTTTAAGTCAAATATTTAGTGATTTTGTTTTTATAGTTGTTTCCGTTAGCCTCATCAATAAAGCCATTTTTAATATGAAATGCCAAGACAGATTATCCAAAATATAGAAAAAAATAAATCAAAATTTTAAGATAATCCCCTATTCACCATTATTATCTGATAATTTTTCATAATGATATTATTATTTTTTAAACTAAACTCTAACAGTCAACAAAACAACAAGCAAAGGAATAAAAAGATGAGGTGGTCATTCTAGAACTCTTTTTTTTGGTTTTCTTTGTCAAGCTAAGGGGTGCCGGTGTACTGACTGGAAATGAGCTGCATTTAGATCCTATCTACCAAGGTTTCTCCTACGATGAAGCCCTTATTTAGCTGAACCCATGGTCTGTAGACACAGCTGCAAAATTAGCAAACATCATTCATCATTTCTACTTCTGTACTTCTATCACCAACAAAATTATAGAAACCTATATTTTTAGTAAACTTTAATTGCAAGTTTAAGTTGATATTTATTTATTTAAAAAGCAGTTTACTGAACTGATTATACAAATCTAAAAATATTTCTAAAGATAGAAATAAACTTTCATCAGGAATAAATAGGATTTGCAAAAGAAGACAGCCTGTCAGAAAAAAAAAAAAAGAAAGAAAAGTAACAAAATCAGGCTTCCAGGCTCTTCTACCTTTAATGTGAAAATGAGTATCATGAGGGATGACTTTATATACCTATTGAAAACATGCATAACAAACAACAGATGTATAATTTATGGAACTGATTGCTTTAAGCAGAGAAGCTTCAAAATGAGTATTTGCAACTCAGGTTGTTCTCATGAGGCAAACATATGCTAATTATTCAGAACTGAGACCTGACCATGAAATATACAACACAAAGGAAAAGACACTTAAAAAATGTTTGGGAAGTATTCTACCACTCTCAGAAATATTTACTTGCCTTTTTCTGTAAAAAAGAAATCAGATGGCTGTTAATACCCTTGAAAACTTCAAAAATGGTGAGATTGGAACTGTAAAGTTCTTTCATGAAACTGTGGTGGACATAGATTCCTGTGGTGCTGAATCCAGATCTCCAAGCTTTGCTGGCTCAGTGGATGGGTGGATGTATCAGCCAGAGCTGATAAATGTCCTCTCAGCCAGACTCAACACATGAAGAGGACAGTGGCTTGTTTCTTTTATGAAATAGAGCCATAACAGACTCAAGACCAAAAGCGTAACATTAAAGATTTATAACACAGAATTAGCACTGTCAGACTTACATTATGTCCTGAAGAACTGAATTATAAAAGCCAAGTCATGTGCTTTCAGCAGCCTGAGGTATGCAAGGAAATTCTCCCATGAAGGCAGGCCCTTGCAAAAAAATGTCCTGAAATGGAATCCGATACCTGTTAGTACAAAAGTGCCTTGAATGTTTTTAACTGGTAGGAGAAGGGCATGGGAGAAGGGCTGTCTCTAAAGTAACTAGAGCCCTTCAATCACATGCAGGAACTGGTGATTAAAAAAATACACAAAAAAACAAAAAACTAAAATGTCACAGCAAATCAAGTTTGAGCATGCTAAGCCAAGTTTTCACTCCTCTAAGAACAAAGAGTTTCAAGGAGAGATATTCTAGGCTTTTCAAATGTTCTACAAAGAGTATCTTATTTCCTGCTGTTGTTTTGTTTTGTTTAGTGTTCACTTTAATGTCCCCTTTGAAAGAGATAAGTTTTCTCCAATTTAAAAAGAGAAATTACCCTCAAGTGTAATGCATAAGATAGAGTAGAACACTTTAGAGTAAATGAAGTAACTACTAGTTACAAGCATAGCTACTTACATGATTCTCAAAATTATAATATTGAGCAAAAACAAGTCACAGAATGCTAATATATAAAAACCTAGGGTCCATAACAACCGACCAAAGGCTCAACCAAACACCAGAAGTCAGTCCTGCAGTCAATGCTGGGTTGCAGTGGTGACACTGCACTGACTGCCTAGGGGGCTGTGGATCAGGTCTGAAGAGAGGCCCAGAGAGAGGCAGGGTCTGATCCACAGCCTCAGTGGCAGCTGTTGATCATCCATTGCCTCTCTCTCTCTCTGGGCTTCACCATCAGCTGCGCCTCTGTTTCTCTCCGGGACTCCTTGGGGGCTGCTGATCAGCCCTGCCTCTCTGATTAGGCCTGGAGATAGGCCCAGAGATGCTGACTGGCATAGAACCCCACCAATCAGAACCAAATCTGGGTGAACTGAGGAGCCAATGGCTGCCTAGGAGGCGGAGCTTTTGACACTGACTGGCATAGATGACCAATCATCAGAACCAAATTGGCCAGCAAGGGAGGGCAGTTAGGGGTGATCAGGAAGGCATTCAGAGAGGTTAGGGGAGATCAGGCAGGCAGGCAGAGGGGTTAGGGGCAATCAGGCAGGCAGAGGCAGTTAGGGGCGATCAGTCGGATATCCCCCAAGGGGTCCCCAATTGGAGAGGGTACAGGCTGGGCTGAAAGAACGCCCCCCCCCTCTGTGCATGAATTTTGTGCACCAGCCACTAGTATCCTATATAATAAAAAGCCTAATATGCTAATTGTCTGGTCGTCTGGTCATCTGTTCAACCAATCAAAGTG